CCTTTTATTTCTAGAAATGTTATACAATTTTTTCATATACTATTTCCATAAGCTTTTTAATACAAACATTTGCAATTATCACTTTGAAATTATGTAAGTAACCAAGCTGTATAACTATTTGCTATATTAAGAGATAGTATATCTTTATATATAAGATTATCTTAAATATATGGATGGCCAGGTAGCAGCCACTGCCAAATCAGCTTTTTACCATCTTTGGCTGATCAGGCAGTATGTTCCCTTCCTCGAACGCAATGACTTGGCAACAGTAATCCACATGATGGTCACCTTGAGGTTGGACTACTGTAACGCTCTCTACATGGGGTTGCACTTGTCTTAGATCCGGAAGCTGCAGCTGGTGCAAAATGCTGCAGCCAAGCTCTTGATGGGTCTCCCTGTGTGCACTGGCTGCCGATAGCATACTGGATCCCTTTCAAGGTGCTGGTCCTTACCTTTAAAGCCCTTTATGGTCAGGGGCCTACATACCTGAGGGCAGTGTTCCCTCTAAGCTGAGTTAGTGTGAGCTAGCTCACAGCTTTTTAGCCTCTGGCTCACACATTTCTGCCTTAGCTCAGGAAGGATGGCTCCAGAGCACACTAATTTATGCAGGAGCCAAATCGCTCGCTCACAACTTTAATGCAAGTAGCTCACAAAGTAGAATTTTTGTTCACAGGACTCCACAGCTTAGAGGGAACCTTGCCTGAGGGACCACCTTTCCCCACATGTTCACCAGAGCACACTGCGATCAGGATCTCAGAACTGATTGGTCTTTCTGGGTCTCAAGGAAGCCAGGCTGGCTACAACTAGGGCCAGGGCTATCTCAGTGGCAGCTCCATTCTGGTGGAATGAGCTCCCAGAAGAGATCAGGGCCCTGTGGGACCTTAGCTAGTTCCGCAGGGTTTGTAAAACAGAGCTCTTCCACCAGGCCTTCAATTAAGGAGCTGCCTTTAACAGCTGAAGATAGAGAGCCCTGCCCCCTGGAGTTCTCTTTTGTGTGTGTGTAAATTTATTTATACTTTTCCAACAAAAAAACAAAAGTCAGTTACATTTCTTTTATACATCTCATTTTATTATAAAATTTGAACACTCCCCCTGGAGTTCTCAACAACAGCAGCCTGTGCCAGCAGCCTAAAGGAAATCCCTACAAGCCAACTGTGAGAAGGGCCTGTTGATTAACGGCTGCCATCGCTAAACAATATATGACTAGTAGCACTTTATTATATTAGATGGTTTTAGTACCAGGACCCAAACTGATCCTGTGGCACCCCCTGGATATCTCCCTCTAATCAGATGAAATGCCATTAACACATACTCTTTGGGTCTGGTTCTCCAACCAGTTCCCTGTCCACCTAACTATCCAGTCCGTAGTCCTCCAGTTTACCAATCAGAACATCATGGGGAAGCTTGTCAAAAGTTTTACTGGAATCCAGGTAAACCACATTGATGGCATTCCCATGATGCAGTAAAGCTTTTAATGTTAGTCACTACTTCTTAAAATGCTATTTCTTCATTTAATATTTTTTCTTTCTCTTTAAATTTTTTTGCAGTTGGCAATCTTTTAAAAGAAATTCTTCAGGAGCCTCTATGGATTCTAAATGATTTTTTCCCTCTCTTCCATCATTTGACCAAAACCTATCTTTCCGTTGGGTCTATATACTTTTCTAAAATGGAAAACATAACATGGTTTGTAATCCTATCTGTAATCCTCTAACATAATCCTTAGCCCTCTAGTTTTTACACATTGATGCTCTTCTTATATAGGGATAAGTGCTCTTTTAACATCTTTTAAAGATATTTATCTTTAAATGTGTTGCATGAACATAACGGGTTGAATCCTACCAGCTTTTCTAACAGTGCAGAAGGGAAGGGAGGTGCTCTTTCATTCTTGTAAAGGCCGTGAGGGACCCTCATGGTCAGGTGGACAAAAAGCCATGCAAGATGGGACTACAACAAGGAGGGGACTTGAGAAATATCATTCTTCCTTGCTCTTGCAGTAGCGGAAAAGCTGGTAGGATCTAATCCAGTGTCAAATTTAACTTTCCTAAATCAGGTGACTATTTTAATTGGGCTATTAAATCCATACACATTAACAGAGATTACCTTTAAGAACTTTGCCATTCTTTAGCTATTAATAAAATTCAGAGTATCTAATGAAGAGATTATTATCTCATAAGAAAATGAAACTATGTAAATATATTAATAAGTCTATCCGTGTTGATTATACAGCCTTTTTTGAGGGTGAGGCTTTTGGATGTTTCTTAACAGAATCTATAATTTCTTTGGCTTCCTCAGATGTTTTAACTTCCATTATTTCTCTTTGTAATAGATTAGTAGCTTAAATGGGATAGTTCACTCATATTGTTGGATCTTTCTTTAAGTAATTTAGGCTCTTTATACCTTCTTAACATCTCTAGGTATAGATCTGAAAGCAATTAATTTTGAGACTCACCAATTATTAACTATTTTCCTTCCCCTATCTCCTTCACCACATCTCACACCTTCAGATTTTTAAATGTTATAATCAGATTTCTTGACATAGCAGACAGACATACCATATATAACAGACATAGCATATAGTGTTTGCTGTATTGGTTTCTCCAACTGCAAACCCATTTAACATTTTGTTCTAATACTGCCACTGTTAATCTCTGTATTCATGCTTTAGAATAAAATTAGATATTTGACCATAAATTCTAGTTCCTCTGCTCTTGTATTCAAGAGACAGGAAAGCAAAGGAGACAGGCAAGAAATCTCTACTAATTGCTGTCTATTGATTTTCAGACTTTAATTGTATATTTTTCTATACAGAGTCCTATAATAGTTTTCCTAATTCTACCATTTTTAGTTGTTTATGGGTTGTTGCCTCATAAGAACATAAAAAGAGCCCTACTGGATCACTCCAGTGGTCCATCTAGGCTAGCGTCTAGTTTTATACATGGGCCAACCAGTCTCTCAGTCTGGGGCAAGTGATGCACTGTATTCTTGGTGCTTGGGGGGGCAATAGTGGGAGGGCTGCTAGTGTCCTGGCCCCACTGTTGGACCTCCTAATGGCACCTGGTATTTTTGGCCACTGTGTGACAGAGTGTTTGACTGGATGGGCCATTGGCCTGATCCAACATTGGCTTCTCTTATGTTCTTAAGTACTCTGGAGGGCTAACGACAGGACTTAGAGGCTGCGGCCTTCCTCTGATGTTGCCTCCTGGCACTGGTGATCAGAGGTTTACTGCCTCTGGTGATCAGAGGTTTACTGCCTCCTGGCACTGGTGATCAGAGGTTAACTGCCTTAAATCTTGGTCTCTAAGCTGCTACTGGATTCAAATCCAGCACATCACCAACATAACGCTCGAGGATTTGGCCCAAACTCTCTGGTTTTACCATAGCGTTTTGGCAAATTCTAGAGCATCACAATACCTTGGTGACATCACTTCTGAGACCCTTCTGGGTCTCAAGGAGGCCAGGCTGGCTACAACCAGGGCCAGGGCTATTCTGGGTATGCATTGGGATAGGCTGAGACAGTGACAAGCCAAAGACAACCCAGGCCCAATCCACATTTAGCATTTGCTCAGTTGTTTTACCAAATCCACACTGGAACAGAAATCATTGTGCTGACTGCAGAGTCACCCCCGAATGGCCATAAAATGGCCATAAATCTATGCAAACAGCCGCCATAAAACCAGAGATCAAACAAAGTGAAAGCGGCATGCAGTCTGGACACTGCCATAAAATGCGACACTCAATCAAAGTGAAAGTGGCATGCAATGTAGATGGGATTTTTTGTTCCAGTGGGGGTTGGTATAACAGCGGAACAAATGCTAGATGCAGATTGGGCCCTAGGGCAGAATGAGGATTTAAACCTGGTCTTACATTCTAACTATTGCACCCATTGTTTTTGCCCCTGAAACTGCCTTCTCTGCAGAATCATTTGTATCCTAACGTGCTTATTTCTGAGCACACCCAGTAGAAAAGCAGCTAAGACACAATTTGCAGGGCCAAAAGCAGCAGACTGAATAAAGATTCATGATTCCACATATAGTAAACCCTATTCACGTATTACATTGAGCACACATGCATCCATTGCATGTTCATGTTACTAATGTGGATAAATGTGGGGTTTAACTCACATTTTAAGCTGTATGTGCACTGACTGTAACATCAGAATGACTCAATGCATGCATGAAGAAAATCAAGTGTACACTGTACATGGCTTGTCCATTTGTTCATTGTAACTTGTGAACAGGAATACAATGAAACTAGATTGCACATTTAAGAGAGGTTGAGAAAAACACCTTTGACCATCTCTGCAGCTTGCAGGTGCAGGTACAGCAGTGCATTTAGAAGCATTCTAAGACTATACACTTAAGTGATCCTGGGATAATAAGTATACACACACACACACACACACACACCATAGATCATCATCACTGCATAGTTGTTTGGTTTATACATTTGGTTTACCTGCATTCTGTCCATTGGGGGCTGAGAATGTACTGAGATCACAGGACATAAATTAAAAAACAGTTGAGAGTACAGTGAATTGAAAGCAGACTCATCAGACCTCCCTTACATACTCCTCCTTGTCTTTTAACTATCAAGATAAAACAAAACTATCAGTGCACTAAGCAAAAATTGGAAGAAGACCACACATTACAGATTACCTCAATAATGAATGTACATTGGATATTCTTGGTTGCCTGTTTAATTTTATTAATTCAGATGGCTTTATTATGCAATAAGATTTAATTCATAGTTGAGCCTAAACATTTCAGCTACTGTTGAACAAAATTATGAAGGAGATGAGCCTTAATTACTTTTTCATCAAAGCGATAATCAGAGAAGGCAAACAATCTGCAGGAAAATGGATGTAACACTTGTTTTATTTGCTCATATAACTTGGCAAGCATTTTGTTGCAGGTGTGACAACAGTATTACATGAGAGAATGAGGCTATGTAGATGGAGCTCTTGATTGAATTGGTTTTCTGTGTTTTTTTTTTTACTTCAGAAGCTTTGGACATCCTCTTAATTTCCCTGGACCATGCACCTGTTTCTCCAGACCACATCCCAGCTTTATTTTTTGTTGTGGAATCCATTTTGTATAGGATCTGTTATGATGCAGTTCAGAAGCCGTATCTACTTTCCTGTGAAATCAAGTTGGCCAAGGTATGTTATACATTTTATAGTGATTAGTCATGTCCTGATACTAGGGTTGTCTGCCTCCTGGTGAGGCCTGGAGATCTCCTGGAATCACAATCCATCTCCAGATGACAGAGATCAGTTCCCCTTGAGAAAATGGCTGCTTTGGAAGGGGGGGGCTCTATGGCATTATATCTCAATTAGGTCCCTCAACCTTCCTAAGCCCCATCCTCTTCAGGCCCTACCCACAAAATCTCCAAGTATTTCTCAACCCAGATCTGGCAGTCCTACCTGATACCTTCCTATGCATAAAGCTTCCTTAAGAGCACTTTTTCTTTAGTAGTATTATTGCTATTATATACACTCTCTATCCTGGGATCTTACAGTTGGAGGGTCCTTGTTCCTGCTGCTATCTGTCACGAGGTCACATCAGGTAGTATCTGGTGTTAGATCGCCGCTAACAAAGGATCGGAGAGTGATTTCAGCAAGAAGTAATTCAGCTTTATTGAAGTAACGAACAAGCACTTAAATGCATTCATAACCAGAACAAGAAACAATTGGGAGCTAGGCTCCTTTTAAACATTCCCGGGCTAACATAGCCACACCTATTTACAATAATCAACCAATGACGTTGTTAGGATAAAGACCAATGAGCTTACTTCCCTCGCAGGGAACAGTGGCAGTTCTGATTGGTCGTTGTTACAGAGCGACCAATAGGAGTTCAGTTCAGAGGAGCCTTTGTTCGGCTCAAGCTTAACATAGGATGTCAATGGAGTGATTCATGTAACACGTTCAATACATTACATCTGGGACAGCATTTTCTCAGTTGAAGAATGCTCTCCTGGTGATAGGGTTGCAAGGTCCATTGTGCTGGCAGGGGAATTTGGCAGGTGTACTGGAGTTAGGTGGGGATGTTGCACAATGCACTGATGTCACCTGAAAGTGACGTCAGTGTGTCGGAGATTTTGGGGGCAATGTTCTACTTTTTGGGCAAAACTCTATGGAAAAAACAGCCCTAAACCATAGAGTTTTGCCCCCAAAGCAGAATGTTGCTCCCCTCAACATCACTGATGTGCTGATGTCACTTCTGGGTGACGTCAGCATGTTGTGCTTGGTATTGGGGGTGGGGGAAATTTCCTCCTGCTGCCCAGCGTCAGGCAGGAGCCCATGAAAGCAGGGGATTCCCCACTCCCACCTGGGGAATGGTATCCCTATTTTGTGAGACCAGTCAGGCTACAGCCCTGCCTAGGTTTAGTCTGGCAAGTGAAGGCCTTTCTGTCTTCTCTGTTTTTCTTTAGACTTTACTTTTTGTTCTGGTGATGGGCCAAATGTTTGTTTATTTACTTCATTTATACTCTGCCTTTCTCCCCACGATGACTCAGAGTGGCTTATATAGTCCTCCTTTCTTCCATTTTATTCTCACAACAGCCCTGTTAGGTAGGTTAGGCTGAGAGTACATGACTGGCTTAAGGTCACCCAGCAAGGTTCCATGGCAGAGTGGGGATTTGAGCCTGGACCTCCCAAATGGTAGCTATACACTATACCAGACTTACTTTCTCTGAATGTGGGTATTCTGTTGCTGTGGTTTTAAATGTTTTGTTGGACTTTTAAAATTATTTCAAGACTGTACACAATCTTGAATTGTAGTAGAAAAGCAAAGAACTCTTAAAAACCAGTGAAGTAAAATTAAAATATTTTGTTTATCAGAACTATGATTATTGATTGTTGCTGTTTTTTGTGACACTGCAATAAAAGGAGATTGATCCTCTGTCAGAATATCCAGTATGAAGCATACAATTACTTACTCTTTAAGAAGAAAAATCCCCTCCGGGGGCTCAAAAAAAAAAAAGAAGAAGAAGAAAAAGAAAGGGAAAGACTCCCATTGGTCTTTATTCTAGCAATCTCATTGGTTGTTATTTGTAAATAGGCGTGGCTACATTAGCCCGGTTATGTTTAAAAGGAGCATAAGCTCCCACTGTTTTCTGTTCTGGTTTCTTACTGAGTTAGTGCTTGCTCGTTACTTCCAATAAAGCTGAATCACTTGCTGAATCACTGTACGAGTCCTTTGTTAGCGCGATCTAACAATTGGCGACGAGGATGGGATGTTAGAGCAGGTAGGCAGCCCTGCGGACATCCACACTTCGGACTCGGAAGAAAGCGGGCAGAGCACAGCAGCCGATCCGGCGGAGGCGCCACCAGCTCCGGTGCCCAAGTCTCCCCCGATGGCTGGAAGCCAGAAGTTCGAGTGCTTCGAACCCTCCTCAGAAGACTGGGACTCCTACCTGTCCAGGTTCGAGTTCCATCTGGAGACCCACGACATCACCGATGAGGCGAAGAAACGAGCATGCCTCCTGAGTTCCTGCGGGAAGGGGACCTTCGACATAGCCAGGTCGTTGGTGGCCCCAACTGATATAAAGACTGTCACCTACGCTGACATCACGGAGAAGCTTAAGGCTCACTATTCTCCACAACCGTCGGAGATCGCCTGCCGGCACGCTTTTTACAAGCGGAACCAGGCCGGAGGCGAGACCATCGCAGATTTCGTGGCGGCCCTTCGCAAAGCCGCACGGCCATGTAATTTCCACAACGTGGAGGAAGCCCTCAGAGACCGTCTCGTCTGCGGTCTCAAAGATGAAAGGCTGCAACAGAGGCTGTTCGCCCGCACCACCCTGACCTGGGCAGTGGCCTACGAAGAGGCCGTGGCCGCGGAAGCAGCGGAGAAGTCCACGAAGGAGGTCCGCCAGCGGGTGGCAGAGCCCAGTATACACGCTCAACGAGACAGCGAGGGCGAAGACGCGGATGATGACGTCAACGCGGTTCGAGGCAAGCGGACCCCAGCGAAGACTACCAACGTCAAGCCTTGCTCCGGTTGTGGCGGGAAGCACCAGCGCGGCTCCTGTTGGGCTCGTGATGTCGACTGCAGAGCGTGTGGGCGGCGTGGTCATCTGGCCAGAGTCTGCAGATCAGCGAAGAAGGATCCCTCAACTAACAACCGGTCAGCGCAGAGGGGCACTCCAGTCAGCACCCAAGGCAAGACCCGTTCCTCAGCATCGGAAGCAAGCTGCCAGTTGACGGCGACCTTGTCGAGCGCATCGGCCGTAAATCGCACCAGCAGCCAGGGCAAGATCACCGTGACTCCACTCCTCGACGGCCGACCCTGTACAATGGAGGTGGACTCAGGATCGTCCGTGACGGTGATTTCTGCCGCGTCCTGGCGCCAGTTGTTCCCGAACCGAAGCCGGCGGCGGCTCCAGCCTGCGGGAACCAGAGTGTCCGACTTCCAGGGCAACCGAATTCCCTTGGCCGGACGGGACTCTGTTACTGTTGAGTATAAGGGGAAATGTGTTAAACTGTCATTCCTGATTGCAGAGGGAGACCGGGTTAACCTGCTAGGGTTAGATTGGTTTGAGCCATTGGGCATCGGTATTTCTGGGATTAACAGGATGTCTGAAAATAAATGGGGCATGCTGTACGACCTGTTCCCTGATGTATTTGCCGAAGGGTTGGGAAGGTACAAGGGCCCCCCGGTTGCGTTTGACTTAGATCCGTCAGTCAAACCTATTAGGTTGAAGTATCGGAAAGTACCTGTGTCTCTCAAACATAAGGTGGAAAAAGAGATTGACAAACTAGTTGAGCAAGGGGTTTTAGAGCCAGTACCATACAGCAAATGGGAGACCCCGATCGTAACCCCTGTCAAATCAGATGGGTCCATACGACTATGCGCCGATTACAAATGTACGATTAACAAGGCGCTGCAGCAACATTCGTACCCGGTCCCGGTAATAAGCCACATTTTGGCTTCCCTGGGGGGTGGCAAGATTTTCGCCAAATTTGACCTGGCCCAGGCATACCAGCAGTTGCCTGTCACCCCGGAGGCTGCCGAGGCCCAAACAATTGTAACCCACCAAGGGGCTTTTAAAGTGAACAGGCTGCAATTCGGGGTCAACGTAGCACCTGGGATTTTTCAGGGCCTCATGGAACGTCTACTAAGGGGGGTACCTGGCACAGTGCCCTATTTTGACGACGTGCTGATTGCGGGCGGGTCTGAACAGGAACTACTGGACCGGGTTAAAGAGGTCCTCAGGCGTTTTCAAAATGCCGGCCTCAGAGTTAAGCGCTCAAAATGCACGCTCGGGGTGGAAAGTGTGGACTTCCTGGGGTTTCGCATTGACGCAGAGGGAGTCCACCCCACGGATGAGAAGGTATCTGCAATCCAAAACGCCCCCAGGCCGGTGAGTAAGAAGGAGCTCCAATCCTTTTTAGGACTCCTGAATTTTTATCATGCGTTTTTACCGCATAAGGCATCAGTGGCGGCCCCTTTGCACGCGCTTTTGCACAAGGAGGCAAAATGGAAGTGGGGGCAGGCCGAGGAAAAGGCTTTTGTGGGAGTCAAGGAGCTGCTGACATCTAATGCCGTACTCACGCATTATGATGAACACAAGCTCCTGGTGTTAGCTGCTGACGCTTCACCGTTTGGAGTAGGCGCAGTTTTAAGCCATCTGATGCCTGATGGGAGCGAAGCGCCTATCGCTTTTTATTCTAGATCACTATCTGCGGCAGAGCGGAACTATGCCCAGATAGACAAGGAGGGTCTGGCGTTGGTAGCGGCTGTCAAAAAGTTCCATGATTTTATTTTTGGCAGACGATTTTTGCTGGTCACTGACCACAAGCCGCTACTGGGGATTTTTGCGCCCGATAAGCAATTGCCAAACATCATGTCCCCACGCATGCTTAGATGGGCGATATTTTTGCAGGCTTATGATTTTGACTTAGAGCACCGGCCTGGGAAAGCGATTGGGCATGCGGATGCCCTCAGCCGGTGCCCGGTGCCGGACATTGGCGCAGACCCTGCCCCCGCCTGTGAGGTCTTGGCAATTGAGGAGCTTCCTCGACCCCCGGTATCATCCAGGGACATTGCAGCACACACGGCCAAGGATAGCGTGCTGTCCCGAGTATTAAACTGGGTTTGGAGGGGGTGGCCGGTTGGAAGCGTTGAACCGGAGTTCGGCCCTTACAAAAGCCGTCAA